CAACCCTAAACCCTAAACGCTCAACCCTAAACCCTAAGCCCTAAACCCTAAACCCTAAACCCTAAAGCCTAAGCCCTAAACCCTAAACCCTAAACCCTAAACCCTAAGCCCTCAACCCTAAACCCAAAGCCCTGAAGCTCAGCACCCGAAACAGCAGGCCGGGGCACCGAGGTTCCACTGCATGAAATCATCCAGCGTCTGTAAAGGAACCTCTGGATCCCTAAACCCTGAACCCATAAATAAACCCTAAACCCTAAACCCATAAATAAACCCCTAAACCCCTAAACCCCTAAACCCCTAACCCGCTAATAAACCCTAAACCCTAAACCCCAAACCCCTAAACCCTATAAACCCTAAAGCCCTAAAGCCCTAAACCCTAACCCCCTAAACCCTAAACCCCTAAACCCCCATAAACTCCTAAACCCCTAAACCCTATACCAAGGCTTGAAGATGCGGAAGATCGGATCTGGAGCTGTTTCGGGCGTAATGCGAGAAGGCTCCGGGCTCCTTTCAGGGGCTCTGCAAGAGATATGTACTTAAAGGATCATGGGGCTTAGTAAGTAGGGTTTAGGGTTTAGGGTTTAGGGTTTAGGGTTTAGGGTTTAGGGGTTTAGGGTTTGGGGGTTTAGGGATCATGGGACTTAGTAAGTAGGATTATCATTAGGGTACCTATACTTATAACCCCAATCAAGGGACTTATAACCTTATTTACTAAGTCCCATGATCCTCCAAGTATGACTCCCAATGTAATATTTGACCGCGTTGGCCTTTAGAGAATATGCCGCGCTGTTAGTCAACACCTCTTGCGTCAGATCTTCTGGCAAACCTCTTAATCGCAATCTGTTCTAAACCCCTATAATTTTTCATCCTATAACCGACAATATCTCAGCATCTACATCCAACATAAAAACCGTCTCTCACCGATCCCCGGTCCATACTGAACCCTAACGCCTCTCACTGCTCCCCTGTCCATACTAAACCCCACTAAACCCTGAACCCCTAAGGGTCCATAGGACCGAATAATCCTGTACTTGGGTTACGGATAGTGGTTTTGTAGGTTAGTATTCAGAAGAGTATGTGATTATTAGGTACGTGGACCCTTAGGGTGAACCCCTAAACCCCTAAACCCTAAACCTGAAACTCCACTGGGTCGATCGTGTCAAATCAAGGAGCGCTCACCCAGCTGCGCCAGGCGATGACGTCCTTTCTGGGATCCAGGACTAAGCAAGGGGCATTGACAGTGACAATGAGCTTTTTCGCAGTCACATTAGACCCTGAACTCCTAAACCCTAAACCCCCAAAAGGGGGCCCACAAGGGCATGCTGTTACTAATCATTCCGACCCTTACATTACTGCTTTCGTTTCTTGTTTTGGGATTTGGGGTGTCGGAGGACAGTTCTGGGCTTTCTTGCAGGGTTGCGTGCTTTTACGATGTTGGTTTGGGAGTTTCGGGCAGAAGAGGTGGTGGAGGTTAGAAGGAATCGTAAGGAATGGCCCGTCGTCTCCTGATATGGGTTTAGGGTTTAGGGTATGCCCTGGCGGGCACTTGGACGTCCAGTGGCACGTCTGCCCTCATGGAGTTTCAGAAGAAGGGGAAGCCTAAACCCTAAACCCTAAACAGTGCTCGCAGAGCGGGCAGTGGCTGAACCGCGGTTCCATCACAACACCGCTCTGCCTGTGCTTCTCTGGCCTCTCCGCCTCTCTTTCCCTAAGGGTCCAAGTAGTCCTTACTTATGGGGTTATTTATGGTTTTAGGTACCCAAAAAGGCCCTAAAGTCCTTACGTAATGGGTACTTGGACCCTTAGGGTTTGGGACTTAGACTCCATTGTCGAGTCCCCTCGTCCGGCCTTCCCGCCTCCCTGGCGTGGTCCCGGTCAGTTTTGATGCGCCCAGACATCATGTTTAGGGTTTGTTAGGGTTTAGGGTTTAGGGTGTAAGGCACCAATATAGACTCACAGACCCGACCTTTAGAACAAGACCCGTTCAGTTCGAGAAACCCGCAACGCTGGCTGAAGACTGAGCAAGCAATGAATCCTGTTCCTGAATCTGAAGTCACTATGACATCCGACGAGGATTTTGGGTTCGGGGTTGAGGGTTTGGAGTTATGAGAAAAGCTTTCTCTCAAGTCACTGAGGCAGCAACACATGAAATCCAAAAGGTCAAATCCGGTAACCCCGGCAAGACACAGGTCTGCGCCACAGCGCAAAGTCCAAGGGTCAGTACTCTGTTGCCAAAGCGTATACCTCAACCTATCCACGTATCTACCTATCCGGAGAGCTCATCAGCCCCCACAAAAGGTCCGTCAGCCCTTTATATAGGGGCCTTATAATAATCTAAATAGGGTTTGGGTGCCCTTTATGCTATACTTATAATAAGGAACCCCCTGGTAATTATTGAGGCCCCTAAATTAAACGCCACAGCCGACTCCCAAAACCCAGAACACCCTCTGAACCCCTGAGACCCAGATCTTAAGCACGACACGGTTTAGGGTTTAGGGTTTAGGGCAAACCAGATCCTATAAACAAATTTCCACAGCACCATTATGCGTTATAAGTCCTGACAAAAACCCTCTGAGACTCTTCCCTACAACCCTGCAGCACCCTGCACAAACCCTATATAGAACAAGTTAAATCGCCTGTCAAGGCCCGATACAGCGCCGATGAAAACCCGATCTTGTTGAAGTAACCCATAGTTCATGGAAACAACAAGGGGTGTAGGATTTAGGGCTCTATAAACCTTCTGTAAAGACGTGCAAGGGTTTATAGTTTACACAGTTTAAGAGTTTAGGGTCTCTCAGACCCTAAAACCTCTAAACCCTAAGCCCTAAACCTAAAGCCTGTAAACCCTAAACCCTAAACCTAGAACCTCTAAAGCCCCAAGTCTAAAGTGTAGGGTTGAGGGTCCCTCCCGCTCTCCGCAAAAAGCCTCGAAGCCGGCAGAGCGCAGCCGCTCCCGGAGCAGCTCCAGATCGAGGCCGATGCGGAGGCCTCGGAGGTTCATGGGCTTAGGGTTTAGAGTTTAGGGTTTAGGGTTTAGAGTTTAGGGTTTAGGGTTTGGGGTTTAGGGTTTAGGGTTTAGGGTTTGGGGTTCATGGGTTTATAGGGTTTAGGGTTCATGGGTAGTTATAAGAGGGGCTTTATGGGGTTCCTTTAAGGGTTCCTTTACAGGGTTCTATAGGGTTTAGGGTTTATGGGTAGTT